ATACAGTTATTTTTAATGAAGTTTCGTTACAAATACATTTAAGAAACATGAATAAAGATAAACGATAAACCTTCATAACAATTTTGGTGAAGATTCATCCACACCCTGCGAAGCAGTTACATGGATATATAACAGACAGTACTATTATATTTATATAGATATACACTTTGATACTTGTAAATAATGTTTCTTTCTACTGTTTATAAAGCTGCTTAGAATGTACTTATGTGTATTTGTTTCCGAAAGTAAATATACCAGATATTGATTTCGAAGAGCACGTGTAGCATGTAGAAATATATACTAATGAACGTTCATCTTCGTAAAGTTTACATGTTATGGAGTATGTGTCTATTTGAGATAATAGTATTTCTAAAAAGAGGTGATTCCGTGATTTTTATCTGCTCCAAGTATTTAAACAAGCTTGACGATAATGTCAAGCTGATTTGAAATTAAAAGAAAAATCTGTGCAGCTAACAATATAACATTAAATATTTGTTTCAAATCTAGTTTAATTTATCTTACTCAATTTATCGATGCATGTGTTTGATTTAATCTTCATCGTAATATACCGAGTACACTAGGATCACTCCATCGATCACTTATGGTAAGAATAAGCATGGCATCAAAACCGTATGTATGCATGCGGAGTGGATGCCATCCTTAGATAACTGATTAATCTCTTGAGAAATAAAAGGATGAATGGATTTGTTTGTTTGTTTTATGTTTTTTTACCAAGAAAATGCGATATTCGATCAAACACTGAAATGCAATGATACAATGTGTTTCTGTATAAGGAAAGATGCATGAATGTTATGTAATAGCGAATGATATAAATGGCAAATTTTAATGTACTGGAAAGTAAAACCAGTATTTACACAGAGAAAACTAAATTTTGCTGGATATAACTTTGTATTTGCATATATAATATTGAACTAAATCAGGTGTAGCTATTTATGACTTTTACCACTAGATGGCGCCCACCGAAGTGTTTGATTAAATATCATGTGACATCCTCACGATTGAACGATATAATTAACGAATAAAACCATAAGGTGTTTGTTATAGCAAAAAGAAAAATATATTTTGAAATTTTGTTTTACATGGAGATAAAAGAAATAAAGGAAAAATCATTTAGTTTCTAATAAAACGTTTCAAAATACAAAGTAGAATTAGAACTTTCTTTCTTCATGAGGTTTATATACTAAAATACAACAAGTTAATACTCATTATATTAAACCATTTACCTTACTTACCCAGAGAAATGAAACATAGTTAAGATGTACTAAAGAAAAGTATTACATTATATATCACCCCAATTGAAATGGTTTTGATTAAAAATAAGATTTCAATATTTCTTCGTCGAATGATGATTACTACAGAAATCCCTCTATCATATAGTTGTTAAACCTTAGTTAGTTCTTATAGTTGGATTTGTGCCAACATAATCCTGTAGCTTAAATTAAGTCTGATGCAATGATAATTTTTCATCTAATTAAAACTCACATAAAAGCTTCAGGTGTTTAGACTCTAATAATACATAGAAATTATGAAATTCGAATACCTGGTTTTTAAACTAGAGATATGTGACATTTTTCTATTAATCGTGTAATCACTTTCTTTCACTTAAGTCCCTGAAATATGTAAATTAGAAACTCCAGAATATAAATGAGAATTTTGTAAAATTAATCGACTTTCTTCTTCATGTTGTTTCAGATATAAATGATTAGGTTCATTAAGCTCTACGCTTCTGTGATTGTATGAAAAATAAGGTAATAAGGGATTGAACCTGAAAAATAATATTATAAAGGACTCTGCCATTATGATAATGAACAAATTTGTTTAAAACAATCCCCTCGTTAAAGATTTTTGATACTCTATAACTGTAGTTATATAACATATTATATGCTAAAATATATCATATAGGAACATTAAAGAATACTTTTATTCTAATATTTCATAAGAATAACCAAAAGTACATTGCCTAACAGCAGAATAGAGCTTGTTAATCGCTTATAAATTGTAAAAAAAATACTATGTGTATTGTTTCAATAGTATTTTAGGCAGTATAGATTTGGTAGAGTTTTTGTGGGCTTTTATAGACTTTTCCCTGTTCCGTGAGTGTGGCTGAGGTTTCGGCTTCTATACCCGAGCCTTTAACTTTGACCTAAATAAAGCATAAGTATAATTTCCGAAACGTTGTCCTACTCTAGAAATAAAAAGGACCAGTTCTTTATATCAAAACATCTACTATGTTTATTCTTCAAGCACAAAAGTGAACAATGGGCTTTCTGGGATGTGCCCACCACAAGGATAGAACCCTGAATTCTAACGTTATAAACCATCACCTTACTGCTTAGCCACAACTTAACATTGTCATGTCTAATATAATTCTCAAATTATCCTCTCGATCTGTTAATATTGGGAAACGGTACGTATCTGTACTACTAAATAAAATTGCACGCTAACTATTAAATGACGTTGGACCTCTCAAATGACAGCTCCTCCGAACAGAAAGACACGAATGTATCACATTGCACTTATTTCTCTCTAGTTATATAACAAAAAGTTTAAATTAATGAAATCGGCCTAATTCTATGTAATATTCATTGGTCAGTGCATATATACATACTTAACAGGATTCCTTTTAATCTTTCCAGTCACATAATATTCTCTATACCACGAACAGTAACATTACAATATTCCCACTAGACACCAAAAAGCTGCAGAACTCTAAACGATCTGACAAAAATAATTTTTTTCTTCATATCTATTTCTTAGTATTGGTACGTTAGATATACCAAATCCATAATGAACACATATGTTTTATATAGAGACGTGATGAAAGTTTTGTTTTAATATATATTATCACCTTATTATGTGACAATTATTTAAAAAAATTGCGAAATCTGAAAGTTAGTTGTCATGATTCTCTTGACAGTAGCAAATAAACATTTAAGCTCAAATATTTCTTCTAGTAATTAAGGTTTACATTATTTCTAAAATTACATGTAAGAAAGACGTAATACAGTAACGTTATCGAAGCATCCCTTAAGTCAATCTACAAGTGTTAATTAAGTAACGCTGATACGTGCTTTCAGTGTTATCACATGAGAATGAAGTCAGTAGAAGAAGATTAAAGGAACAAGAGAGATATCTGATGTTACTTATCTATACTTGTAATGTATCTGTGAAAAATGGAATTACTTGTTGTATGGAGTTTGTTAATCAAACACTTTCAGCCGCAAATAAACAACGATAATAGAACAATGTTTAAACAGCCATTAAAACAAAACTGATACTCTATAATCAATATGCATTATGATATGTAGCGGAGAAGTTTATCTTAAAGCCTCTAACTATTTGACTTTATAAAGGATGGAATTTAGGCATTCTTATACGCTCATTTTTATCATACCTTCTCAAATTATTGAGAAAATATACAATAAAATCAATAGTTTTATTTATATTATTTACATTCGTTATGACAGGTTCAAGACTGAAGAATTGTTCTACGTTAAAGCAAATATTACTCCCTATTTGAAAAAGTAATTAATAATACATAATTCCTTATCCGAGAAAGTAACTAACAATATACTTATTGAATAAATACAATAGTTCTGAGGCATTATTTACACTCCCGTTACACAACCAGAAACAAAAGGAAGACTTCCGTTTTGCCACAATATATATATATTTCATGCCCTATTTCCTCAGTATTTCCATAATTATTTCTAATACTGTACTTCTGATAGTTTAACGCCCTCACAATTTTATAATGAATCAAGATCTCTGAAGTAAATTATGCAGGTAATGGGATTGTGAAATCAAATAAAATTCATTGACGATAAAACGCTTAAATCATATGTTTAAGTAACATATGACAGACATGAATTATTCAATCTGTGAGGAAAGGAAAAAAGGTACGTTTTAGATTTCCACCAAATAACACTATAGGTAATGAGGTACCCAGCATAATTCTGAAGTATAATGTAATAAGGTAGCGATAAAGAATACAGTTTTTCTTCGTGTGTTTTTTTAATTTGACAGAAGATATTATTCAAAAATATATTGTACGTTTTTGTTTTTTACATTAGAAAAAAATCAAAATCTTCCAGTTTTTATTAAACTTGCTATCTTATATTAAATTGTACGAACCAATGAAATAGTCAGGAACCTACTGGTGAAAAACTATAAATTCGTCTTTATAAGGATATGCTTTTCCATATTCGTAATCACTTCCGAGAGAAGAAATCCAGATTTAATCACTTTATTCAGAAGTTAAAACTTTGTTAAATCTTCTATTAGATTTCTTTTTTCATGCACAGGACGAAAGCTTTGAGTACCATTTCGTGTTTCTAAAAGAGGCCACTGATATAGTTAGCTTAAATCATATAACTCGTTTGTGATATATTTGGTGTGTGAAATATTTATAAGCTATACTTGTTTCATTTTGTTTATAATAATTCATTTCGTAGACATAACTAACAATTTAAAAGCCATACATATCAACTAAATGGTGTGAGAGATGTTACTATAATAAAACATCAATAAAACTATAATAAAACATCAATAAAAGTTTAAATTTCAATGATGTTTATTATTACAATATTTTGTGTCGGTTTTTTTTGTTTTGTTTTGTTTTATTAATAGCATTGCTGATACCAATAACTTTGTTGCATTTTCCTTGCAGTAATTTTGTGTAACAAACTGTGGACTGGAAATGAAAGAGGATAACTAAAATTTAACTACGTGGGATTCGATAACTCGTATTATTATCAACTAACAAAGAAATTTCAGCTTAATTTTTAGTTTTTAAAATCGCATAAATACCATTACATTTTTTCTATTGGGAATAATTGCTTTTAATTTTATATAAACGTTATTCTGATAAATTTATCACACTAAGTACATGAAGATTAAGTTAATTTGTCGATAACAAGGAGTTTTTTCTTGTCATTCATGCATTTATATAATTACATAAATATATATTGTTTTTGCAGTTGCCTTGGCTGTAAAAATATTGCGTCTTTCAGTACCACAATCAGTTCAAAACGGAACAGACCACGTGATTTTAGACTGTGAGTATAATTATACTGCAAATGATCTCCGGCTCGTAGTCAAGTGGTTCTTTAACAACAACTTAGAGCCCATCTACCAGTGGATTCCTAAACTAAATTCAAGACATATTTCTGAAATGTTGATAAATAGGCTTGACCGCTCTTACAAAGTCAATTCTCCTGATCCCTACTTCCACTACCGAGCTCTCTATCTTCTACATCCTACGTTGGAAATTAGTGGTAAATATACATGCCAGGTATTGTCTCTTGCTGGTCATGATCAACAACACCAAAAAATGATCGTATATTGTAAGTATTTAAATATGTTCTTTCTTAACATAATATTAAAGGTATACTTAGGAGAAATAAAACATAGCTATCATTACGTTCACTTGCTTACAGGTTCTGTTTTTTGGAACTACTTATACATATTACTTTTGTAAAGTGTTTTAGTCGGTCGTCCTGTAAAATATTTTCAGCGTAATTCGAATGAATTATGTTTTTAAAATCTTAAATATAATAAATGATGTTGCATTTAAACATGGTCCATGTCCGAAGCTTTAATAGTAGACTACATATATATATATTAGTTGCTTTATTTGCCCTAAGTTTCTCACAAATGGGAAAAATTAATTTGGTATGTTTATTACTATGAGATTTGTATTTGAGAGAATTCATGAATTCATGAGAAGTATCATCTTTTAAGTTTCACAAACATGTGCTTGAAAGCAGTTTATCTACTTGCCTGTTTTTTAGTACTGTTATTTTGTCAGTTAAGTACACTTAGGTACGTTTAGAGTTAAATGCAGTTCATTAGGCTTAACATAACTAACTAATTTAGCTAACACTTGATTCACTTTCAAAAATCTCTATTACAAATATAAATAGCATTATGTTTCAGATTACAAACACAACATTTTATACAAATGCAATTAACATTTATTGAAAATAGATGAAAATATATTCATTTTAGCAATCATAAGTACTTGTAATTCCTTAATAAGTGTACATTGGTAGAGCAGTAGTAATATTTTGAACTCGCATTGTAAAAACCCTAGGTAAAATTCCCTGCGGTGGACAGAGCCAGATGATCCATTATGTAGCTTTGCATTGCAAAAAACACACAAAAAACAACTTATTAAGTTTCGGTTTAAACGCCAAAGTCCGACGGAACACTAAAATTCAAGAGGTCTAAACATTGTTATAAAAATCGCTTAAACTCAAGATGTTGTTTTCACATTTTTTTAAATTTGCACTTCGCATCCAAAACCAGAAGCATGTAAAAATAGCTTTTGAGATCTCCTTTTTTTCTCCAACAAGGCATTGCCAAAGCGTCTTCGTCAGTCGAACTGGACGATGTTTCTGATTTTGAATTCAAAATAAACGATTTAATACGAATGTGGAAAAAACCTAAAGTTTACGGATTTTCTTGTCGCAAACTTTAGGCATGACTGCTTATTAAGTAAGTGAAAATATCTCGTTGTAAAGTCACACCCAAATAAGTGATAAAATCAAATAATAATTGATTCTACTTTCCTCTCATTTTTCCTAGTTAGCGTAAATTAGTTACAATTCCATTAGATCTTTTATATAATATGACATTGAAAATAGAGAAGTTACAAACTTATATTTGCCTCCTATGAGGCCAACCAAGAATTTCATTGTTTTTATTACTCTATTAAATTAATTTTTAATTCATGATACGAATGTTCATAATATTATTTCATCACTTCAGCAGCTTGTGCTGTCCAAACAACACAAGTAGGGTAAAGTTATTTATGTGATTTTTACCATGTTTTTATTCTACGGCAAATACCAAGAATTTCATTGTTTTTACTCTATTAACTTTTAATACGCAATACATCTTGTGCACACCAAATCGTGCTCGAAAGGCTCCTTTCTAACGGTGTACCTTTCACTCTTAATACATATTCGATTCACAGACTAACATACAGAAAATACAGCGTTAATATATAATTTTATATTTCACTCAATTTGGTTTAATGTTCTACAGCTCTGTAGAGAAATTATCCAAGCTATTACACCGTGGATTACATTAACGGTACATCTCTTACAACACACTGCTCTGGCTTGTACACACACATGATCACTAGATATAAGTTTGCTCAATTACGTACGAAAAAGAAATCATTCTCTTCACATCTATAGCTCTTCTGGAATTTGACATACCGTAGTGTAAATCCAAATCCTTGCACATTAAACGTTACAACATCACAATCTGTAAACGCACACTAACACTCATAACATCATAACCTACTCCTTTTCAATAACACTTGCAACATTGCTTTATATAATTGTTCAATAACACTAACCTGTTCACTAAAACAAACAACAATACCGTCTGTAACTGCCTGCTATAACTCGCAAGGTCATAGCCTAGGCAGCCTACTGAAGTCATTCTAATGCCCTTCAAACTAGTCTTTGACAATATAAACACGGCGTATTATTGCAATATTGTCTTGGAAGGGCTTTTGTTCAACAAGTTGAAAATGCATCATTATGAGATGAGCATAGTTGGCAACAACGCTTTTTAGAAAAAAATCCAAATGAATGTGTATAATATCATTTTACTATTTCAGCAGCTTGTGCTGTCCAAATAACACAAGAGGGTAAAGTTATTTATGTGATTTTTACCATATTTTTATCCTACTGTTAGTAGTAGTAAAGAGGAAAATACGACTCCTCAGATCACGGCAAACATTCATTGTTCACAGTTTTTTCTTCAAGTGCTGTTAAAGCTATATTTTTCTGGTTGCATTTGAGGAAAACTATCTTTCAGCTTGGTTATTGAAAAGTTTGGTTTTGCATGAGTGATTGGAGGTGGCTGAATCTGTTGTAAGAAATTTTCAGTTGAGACAGCCTAATGCTGCTAGCCAAAGAAATAACGAAGTTTCAGCTATACGGACATCAACTATTATATCTTTAAAAGACACCAAGACCCTTTCTCCCACTCATTGTCTTGCAGAACAGTAACTATATTTCTGCTTTTATAAGGCTTATATTTGTAATTTTATGGATGGTTCTACAAATTTATTCAAATGTCTAGTCTGTTTATAACGTAAGCGTGTACAACACATAAGCAGGTATAGATATAAGTATTCCATACAATATTCTATAAGAAATTAATTGAGAAATGTGAAGAAAAATAGTTTCATTCAATTGTAATTTTGGTGTGTTTCTACACCTAAAGAGACTCATTCCTTCACTAACTTAGGTTTTTATATCACAACATTTAGTTTCCTGTATTGCATACAAATAGAACTTCAGATGTGACTGCCACAGGTCAAGCTTAGAAGATGAGTTCTGGTGTTGAGACAGAATTGTCTTCGGTAGTTGTTTTTCGCGAACAAATGTTTAACTTGAAATGTTGATCCCACACACCTCTAATGTGAAGCATATAAAAGACAAATTAATAGAAACTTCAAGAAAACAAAAATATTTGCATTCAAACGTAACTATTTAACATTACTTTAAATATGTTCAAACAGACAACACAAATATATAATGTGTAAAAACATATATATATATGTGGTATTTCTGGAAAACTATATTACATAATGGAGAATAGAAGACATTTCCGAAAATTAAAATTAACACATTATTTAACTCATGGATTATAAATGATATTTCCGAAATTTAGCTTTTAATCGTGATTAACAAGCTGAAACCTGTCACAAAAATATGACTCATAAAACCGTTAACAGAGCTTAAATTTAAAATTACGGTGTAAAATCATATTTAAAGAAAATAGAAATAATCTCAAACAATATAATACTATCGCGTTGTGTATTGTCAGGTAACGTACAACGACAATATTAAAACAATAATTAAAACTTTCAAGGGTTGGTAAAATACGTTAAAAACTGATTAAGAAGGTTTAAACGTAAAATAATAGTGTGATAAAAATACAAATCTAATAATATTAAGAATACACAAATAATCAATATAGCTTTTAATAAGGTAAATCCACCTGAAAATATAAACCAAATTAAAATGAAAACAACTTATACGTTTAGGACTTTTATAAATTTTCTATGGAGAAAACATTTTATTTTATATAGATAAACTTAAAGAAAGATACAATGGCATATAGCTTAATAGTTTGTATATCTTCTATGACCCTATGGTATAGTTACGTTCTATATATGCTACACAGAACGCCTTGCATTAAATGTTATACATTATTTACTCAACGCACTCTAAGTTCAGTCTTTTTTCTTCTCCCAATCCGATTTACGTTTTAAAGCAGAACACACTAATTTTTGTTTAGAATTTTGGCTGGTCGTTAATATCTTTTATAAGTAATCCAGTACTTTAACATATTTTTAATGGTATAAATATATTTAAGCTGATAAATGGAAAAATTCAAGTTGCATTTTCTTTTTATAGTTAGAAAAGACATGGTTACAATAGATTGTTCATTTTTTTTGATTCGAAAAGCGAACATGATTTACTATCTCGGATAGTCATTATAACTATCAGGTTAATTCATCTAGGATTTTAATTTTAGTTTGAAAAAGTTACATATTGGTTCTAATTGTACACGTTCACGGAAAACCGGCTGTTTTCTTGACACAATTGAACAATGATATTTAAAGTCTAGGAATACAGAACTAGCACCAAACTTCCGATAGCACCAAACAAAGAATCTAGCAAAATCCTTAATGAACGTTGTTTTTCTTAGTTGAAAGCTACAAAATGGGATATCTGCACTCTGTTCATCGCAAAGAATCAAACCCCAGATTTTAGCCTTTTAAAATCATAGGTTACCGCTGATCCACCTGGGAACCCCTCCTTAATTGAAATTTAGCTTCTGGCGGAAGCTAAATGTAATTTTTTAAGTTCATTTTGGAAGGGAACTTTCAGACGTAAGTATTATTAATGGATTTGCCTAAATTGTCTTCAATAAACCTTTATCAAAGCCCAAAAGACTAGAAGTAACATCTGTAATATATCAGATAAGTAAAGCTTTACCTTCCATGAAATAAACGAATAGTACCATAAATACAACAGCAATGTTATTAACAACATCCACCCTTTCTATTTGCAATTAGTATCAAACGAAAGAAAATCATTCGGCTTGTCACAAAGAAGTGGCCTCAAAGAAATGAAATTACTGTTTAAAGAAAAAGTTAGCAGTAGCATGGTATAACAACAAAATTTTGTAGTCTTATATAGATTTGTGCCCTTTTATTAGACTCATCATGATGTCAAAACTCTCTTTGGTTGCAATCGATTCAAGAAAGACACGTGTTCAGAATGAAACTGTATAGATTTGTTTTTTTTCT